AAAGTATCATATAATGCTTCCAGGGCTGGCACAGCTTTCTTATTCATTGTGTTGCAACTGGTGTTGGTATAATGGAATATTTCAAAGATAAGGTATAAATTTAAACATTTTAAATTTGTTATGAATTATATTTAGTAAATTTTGAGTAACATGTTATTTTTTTATTTTCAACTACTTTGCCATTTCCAGAAAACTAACTTTAATTATAAAGTTTTATATTCTGTTAACTATATTTTTATGATTACATTATCATTTTTGTAACTTTTGTTTTATTGTTAAGAATTTAAAATTATGTGTGGCTATTAATGCTATTTTCAATCTTGTTTATTTTATTATGCTCCTCAGCAAGTCTTGAAATATTAAACAGAAATTTATGTTTAATATCAAAGTGTTTTCAAAATCCTTTTATGGAAAGATTTGAATTAAATTATATTCACATTTTAGCAATGTTTCAATGATACAATTAAATAATGAACTATTCTTCTATTCATATATGATATGATTTACTTTTACTTTTATTAACTTAATATATTCTTTTTCATTACATTTAATACAGTATTCAACATATGATTGTTTTTGAATTTGACAAATTTAATCTGTTAGTGATTTCATGTGTTGTTATTTGGCAGTTTGCTTCAATCAGTACCTTTATTTTGTTTTCATTGGCTTCAATTCGCCATCCAGAACATGGTGCATCTTCCATAATGAAATTGCCAGAATGAAATTTTGTAAACCAGTTTTGGCACTGTTGTTCTGTCAATACATCTTCTCCATACATGTCACACAATTTTTTCTCACTTGAACAGCATTCTTACCTTTTCGGTAATAAAAGAGCAAAATATGCTGAAAATGCTGCTTTCGATCTTCCATATTTGATGGGACACAAAAAATGAACAATTGCATAAAATCAAACAAAATTTTTTACAAATAAGCCTTAAAATGCTAGCTGTCAAAATATATAATGATAATACNCATCTTCCATAATGAAATTGCCAGAATGAAATTTTGTAAACCAGTTTTGGCACTGTTGTTCTGTCAATACATCTTCTCCATACATGTCACACAATTTTTTCTCACTTGAACAGCATTCTTACCTTTTCGGTAATAAAAGAGCAAAATATGCTGAAAATGCTGCTTTCGATCTTCCATATTTGATGGGACACAAAAAATGAACAATTGCATAAAATCAAACAAAATTTTTTACAAATAAGCCTTAAAATGCTAGCTGTCAAAATATATAATGATAATACGGTTTAGAATGAAAATAGCGGGAAAAATACTACTAATCCGTCTAGCAGTAAAAAAAAAATGAAATCACTTTCCGAACAACCCAATACATATAGGATTAGCAAACCACTACTAAATCTGCCAAGATTGGTAGTCAGTTTGTTAATCCTACATAGTCTTATATCTATCCAATTTATTGCAATATTTCTGGATCTGCTATTGTAGAACAATGTCAGAATAAGGAGAATGCTGGATTATACCTTTTTATGCATTTTCTTTTGATTTTGGAAGAATTTAATGATATAAAATAGGATAAAATATATAGTTATATATTATTTTGAATTAATAATAATATATTTTATTTATAATTTCATAAAACAGATATTTTGGCTGCAGTTTTCAAATTGCAAATGTATACAGTCGACCCCTGTATAACACGGGTTCGTATAGTTCGGATTCCTATATGACGGCGAAAAAATTGCAACAGTATTCGTACAAACACACTAAAAAACTCATATAATTCGGTAAAACGTCATCGCTGACTCGTGTTGTGACAGGATTGGTCGAATCTAGACCAATAGCATATATTGTACAAACCGTTGAGTTTAAACAAGCAGCAGACCTACTAAAAACCATTTATTATTTAACGTCCATAAAAATTATATTTATATTAATGATGTCTCCAAAGTTCAGCGAATTTTTCGCAAAAAAAATAATTTATCAGGAAGCACGCGAGCGCCATTCGATGACAAGCTCCACGACGAAAACAAGCTTAAGCAATGGCATCGTTGAATGGTGCACACTTGGTAAGTAATCCTACAATTTTTTATTTATAGCATAGTTTATATGGATTATTCCCAAAAAATTATACATATTTTGGAAATGTTGAGTCGAATTAGTCTAGAATCAATTAATTTTATGGAAGAAAACCTTTCAAACAGCCATAGTCTGTAAACTGCATACAGGCCGGGCTGTGATTGGCTCTTGTATTTAAGGACTCTTAGAACATCAATTTCATAAAGAACGGAATGTACCTACCGTGTTATAGGGGGGTTGACTGTATATTAGTGGCATACCATCCATGGAAGCTGTGGAAGCAGCTTCCCTCATATTTTCTAAAATATAAATACATATTGTGCAATTATTTTCATATTTTAACAAACTTTAAATTAATTAAAATTAATATTTTATTATAATTACATTATGTATCTTATTACAAATTTCTATACTACATGTGAAAAAATGATAAGATTTCTATTGCATATTCGAATATAAATTCATATAAGCATAATCCCAACAGAAGTTGAATACAGGATAGCTTCCATGGAAAAAATATCTGAATCATGTAAAGCAGCCAGATTATATACATTTGCACATGTGCTTTACAGAGCACCAACATCATGCGGTTTAGCTCGTGGATGCTATACACCAAAGTATCATATAATGCTTCCAGGGCTGGCACAGCTTCCTTATCATCAAATGTCACTGCACGTCACTGCTATATATTGATATATTCCCACTGTCATCTGTTCTTCCTTAATCTTAAGAATAGAGTTAAATAGATGAAAATTGAGACCAGATATGAAAGGTTTAGGAACTGAGTTCCAATTAACTATATATGAACTCTGGTCTGTACTGGATGATTTTTTAAAAATTAAATGACTAAAAATTGCAGTCCAGCATTGTCACAATAAGTAATTAACTTTTTCTTATTATTACTTCTTACACAATGCTATTAAACACAATTTTATAAGTATTTTGTATTAAATTCACAAAAAATGGAAATTCCAAAGTTATTTACATAATTTTATAAAACAGCTATGTAAAATCCATATTTTACAAAATAAGCAAAATAATTAGTTTTAAGATTAATTTTTCATAATATTTCTTACAATATACAAAACTTTTTTCTGTAAAATCACTTTTCTATAATTATTCTTTAGAATATTTTGAATATTAAAATCTAATATATTAGATTTTGCTTTTCTATTAATTCATGAATTTTCTATGAATTCAAACAACTTTTATTAGATCATTTTATACATAAATACATAAACACACAGATACAGTGAAGCCTGGATTTAGTAAATGAAACAACATAGTAATAAATTTTCTGAAGTATATCAAGCATTACTTCTGCAGATAATGATCAAAACTTCTGTCCTTCCTATACTGCAAAATCTTTTAATTAATCAGACAATACAATGAATAACATGCTTCCCATGAACACCATTTTAAAAAACCCATATCTTCAGTGTCATCATTCCATAGAATTTCTTTCTAACTTTAAACTTACCAAATAAATTTTTCAAAGTACAATTTTTACATAGCACTTTTGATTTTTCATACCAAACATTGATAGATTGATACTGGCATTGATAACTTGACAGTGACCTTTTCCTAATAACTCCCTTCCATTATGCAAATCAGAAAATTCTGAAGGAAATAATAATAGAAGCAGAATAAATGAAATGAATTGCTTACCAGTTTTCACAAGCCTGGATACTAGGCTTTCCAACTGTAATTGGCAGTTTTGCCTTCCTAGCTTGACTACTGTTGTTTTGATTCCCATTCAGATCAGATCTTTTTGAATTAATTTCTCTAAATTAATTTTTCATTAATTAAACATTATTTTGTATTAAATTAGCATTAGAAGTATTAAATTTATGTTAATTATCATATAAAAAGAGCAATTTATCAGCTATTTCTGTATTTATCATCACTCACTCTTTTAGAAAATCTTCCAGATGTATCTATTAAAAGTTTACATATTTACTTCTTAAGCAGATAACTATCTGAAGCTAAAAAGTGAGCAGAGGCTATGTCTATTAATAAATAGAGCCAGAAATGAATTTAAGGGGTATAGAATTCACTACCCTTCTGGCAATTTTTCCTGAATGAAGTAGTAAAAAAATTTTGCAAGGCATATTGTTTCCTTTCTGTATCACTAAAACTATTTTTGGATCTATTGTATGAGACTAAGAAGATTGCTAGATTATTGAAAGTAAAGTGAATTCAATGATTTAATCATGAAGAAAGAAAACATTTACATGAAATTAATACATTGTATTAATCAAACATATATAGATATATTGTGTTGTAGAGTTGTCAAATTAATAGTCATTCCTTTTAAAATAATTTTCAGTTGTCTTGTCATATTGTCATGTGGACATACTTCCATCACTGGTAATTGGGCTGCAATTTGAAAAAATTTTAGATCTATAAATTCCTAGTGTTGTCCATCCATCTGTCTTTCCCTAATCTCAAGAATGGAGTTAGATAGATGAAAGCTGGGATCAGATATGGAAATATGGAAAGCTTAGAGGCAGGAGACCCCAATTAACTATATACAAACTCCTGGTTTGCATCAAAGTCAAGTTATTTCAATTCAAAAATTTTCCCTTGAAAGGAGTTAGATAGATGATTGCAGGACTCTATTCTAACAGGAAAAGTATGATGTACAGGGGCAAGACACTACTAATTTGAGGTAGAGAGCATATATTTTAAATAAAATAAATGGAAAATATGATTACAAATTGCAGCCCACCATTGTCACAATAAATAATTGCTAATTATTATGGCAAAGTTGGTGCTTTCATACTGAATTTGTGGGAAATGTATTGGTTGGTATAGTATTTTTGTTGAGAAATTTTAGGAAACTAATTTTTATATCAAATTTATATAGTATTGTACTTTAATATACCGTGTCTTTTTGAGTACTCTAAGATAATGAGCTAAACAATCTTTAATATTATGTCCAAGATATGTTTAGTAGGAAGTGGAACTGGAGTTTGTATTAATGGAAAGCTTGTTTTTGACAGCAATGCTAGTAATACCTGAGAGTCAAATAGTATTTGGATAATCTGACCATTCACTAGTTATCCGACTGTACTATATTACTGTGCAGATATATCATTTTGCTTATAAAAACATAATTATGTATATATTGTTTGAAAATTCCTGTTAAATGATATTAATAATCTACTTCATATTCTTAAGTAATCAATGCTATAATTATGACATATCACACTTTTCAATTGAGAACCTTTTAAAATTAATTTGTTGCTGCATCTTCAGTTGCATTTGACTTTCAAAAGATGTTTGATTAAAATGTTATAATAAAATTTTATTAAAGAACTGCTGTTTTATCAATAAATTTAATTAGTCATCTTAGAAGTTTTCATTTTTTGTTTCTATTTATTGGAAAAATAGAAAATTGATCTTGTATTTTTTTAAATGAAAATTTTTCAAGAATTTTGATATATTATGTAAGCATATTTAATTAAGTGAAAAATTTTTATATCAGATTATGAATTGGAAGCTGACAAATGTAGGAATGAATCCTTCTGCAGAACAATATCTAGTGCTTCACAAATTTGGAGCTGTAAGCCATTTTATATTATTACTATTGAATTAATTTTTATTTAAATTTTCAATTTTTAATAAAATGGTATTAATAAATTAATTTTTATATATAAACCATTGTGAATTAAAAATTACATTTTTAACCCTTAACCTCTGAAATGGTAACATTTTATAACAAACTTTAAATTCAATAAAAAGATAATAATTTTTAATATAAATTTATATTAAGTAAACAATGCAATTAACATCAAAAATTTCAGGTCAAAATTTTGTCTTTATATCAATTATTTTTCAAAATGACATTATATTCAATATTTCTGAGTGTTATCAAAATGTTTATTTACTCTAGACAGGTAAGGTTTGTAAAAACTATTAAATTTGTAGGTGAGTCATTTTTTTATGATTGTTTCAGTTTTGAACATTATATTGTTATCTTATGATAAATAATTCTTACTTATTTCCAAAGTTTTACTGTTTCAATATTTAAAATATCAGTTTTATAACTAAAATTAAAACAATGGCTCATTTTAATTTACAGGGAAAAAATCATTTGCAAATACTGATCTCTTGATAATTTTTTATATTGTGATGATTAAATTTAAATTATAAGAAAAGTGCTTAAAAATTTAATCAGAACATTAATTTTAACCCTTAATGAGGAAAAAAAATAAATTTAACATGATGATAAAGTTTTCCCAACTCAATTATTATTCTTCCAGATTTTTAAATTATGTAAGAACTTCTCCTAAGTTATATAAGGTTAAGTTCTAGCTTTTAATATAATTTAGTTTTAACAATAAATTATTCTGTAATTATAATGTTTAATTGAATAATTTGTTTTTAATGTTTCACAAATATTGTTAAGATTTATTAACTAAATATTACCTGTCTAGAGATAATGTGTAATTTTTATATTTGTGCATTGTCATTAAATTAAATATTCTATAGTTAAATTTCTATAGAGATGACAAAATTTAATCATACTTAGAGAAATATACTTGCATTTAAAAATGAATGAAAATCTTGCAACTTATAATTTGAGAATATATTACAAATTAATTAAAATTTTATTAACTGATATATTAACAAATTATAGATCAGTGATTAAGGGTTATATAATAATATTTGAACTAATTTTTCTTGGCATTATTTATTAAACTGGGATGTTTATATATGTAAAATTTATCTAATACACATCTTTAACTAAAAGTTTAGTTCTTTATATTAACTTATAAAACTCTAGTATTTTCTTATAATAATCCTGGTTATCCAATAGATATTTAACTTTTTCCAACTAACTAAATTTTTATTATTTATCTTTCTGTCGTATCACGTGGTGATCTTCAACATGCGTATCCAACCACTTCATAAATAAAGGAGGTAAATTGTAGAATTTGAAATGATTAAATCCATACAAATTAAAAAATTAATTACATATTTCACAATATATCAGGAATGCAATACACTGTGTAAAACTTTTTAAATATTTATTTCAGTTGCACAATGGTACTTTGGCAGATTGCATGGCAGTATTGCCTTTTTTTTTTCTTAATTTAAATTCACATTTCACATAATTTTTGCATGTAAAATTTAAAAATATATTCTGCTTTTGTAATTTATATAATCATAAAGATAAAGTTTTACTTATGAATTTTATTTTACTTTTATATATTTTAAGAACAAGCTGTGTAGAATATTGACTAGATCATATTTATAATTTCTATTGTTAATTTATAAGAAGTTAGTTATTGAATATAGCTTTGTACTTTTTTATTTATAAAAATGTTTTTTTATACAATAATTTATTTTTTCACTTGTAAAAATATATAATAAAACATTAAATTATTATTATAATAGCAATTGGAAAGTGTTGAAAACAAAGAAGCACTGATACAAGACTACACAGAAAAGCTGAAAAATAAAATAAATCCACGAAATTTACGTCGCTATGTGGAATCATATATGAAGTAAAAATAAGTTAACTGACATTTGAACAATAAAACTTACTATATTTATATATATAAATAAAAATTTTTTTTCTAGTCGAAAAGATATCACTTCTTTCATTGAAACTAATCTCAAGTAAGTTAATACCTGATACTGTATAGAATTTTACATAATTTCAATAATACATGAATATTAATACATAATGGTTTATTTAAGAAATATGGATGTCCTTTTGATCAGTGGAGGAAGAGCTGCTCATTTACAAGCTGTAGAGAATCTGTATGGTAGAATGGATAAACAAAAGACAGCATTTTTAAAATTAGATAGTGTTGGCGATGTATTTGCACAAGCAGTATGTATAATACTTTTTCAAATTTTATGTAATGATACGTAAATAATTAATATTCTCTCTTTTTTTTCAGCCCGAAAAACTTGCTCAAAGCTTGCTTTTATTTGTCAAAGGTCTTGGGTTTTGTAAGTAATTTTTTTATTGCAAGTTATATTTTTCAATTAATTAGTTAAAAGTATGGAATTAAATAATACAGAGTAAATTTTGTTAACTTAAGAGCATTAAAGGAAAATACTATTTTTCTAATGATATGTTTTTTTTAATAGTAACTTCTGTAACTCTACCTGGCGTTGAAAGGCAAAGAACATTTTCTGGAGGAGATCCCAAGGCTCTTGGAGCAGTTGGTCGAAGACGTACGCTGTCAATGGAAGAGTATGACATGCCTCGACCACGTCGCCTGTCTCTGACCATCCCCCAAAAATGAACAATCGCATAAAGTTTTTCACTGCAATAGAGTCACAAGCTAATCAGAGACAATTACATAGATACTGCCAAGAAAAAATAAAACAGACTGATTGTACAATTGCAATATTAGTCTGTAAGTTGTATTTGGAACATCATTCTGTTATTTTGCCAAAATGGTTATCAAATTACTGAATTTGCAAAGATTTGTAAAAATTTCAAATAAGTTACTGTGTCTGGTGGAAGTTATTAGGATCACTCAAAGAATGCTTTAGAACAGATTTAGTAAAAACAGGTATTCCATTCAAACTGTTGTAAGGATTATAACATTTGTTGAAGGGTAAAGTGACCAGTTTGGGTCAATTTTCTATTTGGCAGTTCTATTGTGCATAATATATTTATGCATTGACATAGTATCTCAAATTATTTTTAATAAGGATAAATATGCTCGTTAAACTTAGGTCTGTTTCAAACACTGTATATAATATTTATATTACAGTATAAAATATACAATCATAGTTATCATACAAAAGTTTTTTAACAGAAAAATTATAGTTTACAGAGGAATTTAAAGGTATTTTATATTTTTTTCTTTGCTGTCTTGAAAAAAAAATACTTAAGCTGATCCTATTTATAACACGCACTGCATTTAGTACATTGAGTAGAAAATGGTTTTTAATAATTCCATAAAAAATAATGGTGGTAAAATCATTTCAGAACTCAAAAAATGTTCTGTATTATGTACAAAATTTAATTATTGAAAAATTAATATCTCAAAATGAAATTTCAAGTATTTACATTTGCCCAGAAAACATACTAAAACATTTTCTCATAAATGTGACCCAAGATTGATCACTTTACCTACATAGTTTCAAAATAAAAAATATCAAAAAAAAAAAAAATACAAAATACAGAAATGTAAAAATGATTTTTCTTCACTTTTAGCTTAAACATAATCTAGATTACATATGATCTTATATTCCAGTGTGGTCCCATTTTTCCATTCAATTATTAAATAACACTTCCTGGCATAAGTGCACGTATTGTATATATTGTTTCTTTCCTAGTTATTTTGGATGTTTTTTGTTAAGTTCTCTCATTTTAATTTCTAATTTACTTTGATCTCTAATTTAATGAAATAACTGATTTTGCATTTGCACAATTTATACTCACAGTTTTCTATAATCAATTGAACTGATTACTATCAGAAAGATATGCAAATAGAGTGAAAATAATATACTACTAATTTTCACTACATGAAAAAACAAGCTGTTAAAATAAATTTTAAACTTAACACAATAAATGCTACACAAAAGATTTTAGATAAATTATTTAATATATTTTTCAACTCCAAAATGAATTTTTTCTTTTTCTCTTACATGCAATATAGTTTTAATGCAGTAATTCTTACTTTCCCCCTCCTCACTGCCAGTCCTTATCTCCATATATATATATATGTATATCCATTTCAATGAAAATTTTTATTAACTTCTCATATTGTAGTTTAGAAACAATGTTACTTGTGAATTTATTTCCAATGTGATTTTTGTGCAGTTGTGCATTATGTAATACCTGCATTGTTTATGGTTGCATCTATTATATAGCTTTTCTACAAACAGAATTATCTGTTTTTTCTTCCCCTTAAATGGTCAACATGCAATTTGTTATATTGTTTTATTTCTTTATGGTACTTTACACAATACCATTTTGTGCCTTCTATGTTGGTAATAGTGTTTCAGTGTTTCAGAAAAAAATGCACTATAAATGATGAAATTTGAATGATATGTTTCTCTAAATCCCAACATGATCATACCAAATATCAGAAAAACAGGAGTTTCTTTTCCCTAATTTATATTCTCACATCACAAGTTTTGTGAAAAGTGTACATTTCAGAGAAAAAGATATGTCTTTGTAAAATTTTCTAAAAAAAAAAAACCTGTTTTATTGTTGGGATGGATATTTTTTCTTTGAAAATTTCATTATAAATTTGCAGTTTTTATTTATATAAATTAGATATTATAACATCTTTCATCATTTATAGTTATTAACTATTGATTTAGTAAAGAAAGCATACAGCAAAATTCATGCCAAAAGCATCACAATTTCTTTTAACTATGCACATTACATCACAAAATTATGAAAAAAACAGCTATTTAATTTGTAAACAATTTATCAAAATTTGTTATAGTAATCATTTAACCTGCAACTTGGACCTCACTTTTCACAAATAAAAATTATTATGCTGAATTGTGTATTGTCATTTATATTATACTTTAAAAATCAAGTCACAGCAAATAACTCCCCACCAAATCACCGACTATATATATAGGAATCAGAGTTGCTGATTTTTGGGGTTCAATCTCTCTTACAGCATTCACTGTATATTAGCAGAAACTTAGAATGTTTCAAAGAAAAAGCTTAAAGTAAATCTTTGACTACTGAATAGGATCTTTTGCAACTTATTAATAGGTCAATAATTAAACAGTATAATTTGCTTTTAACAAAAAGATATAAATTTATTGCAAAAATGTGTGCATATTTTGTGCCATTTAGTATTAAGACTATTTTATAATTGCATCCAAACACTATAATAGATAGTTTAAATATATTATGCTCAAAGACCAAAAACAATCTAGAGAAAAAATGGACCACAGCACATTGACTTCTCAGATCCAGCCACAAATGCATATTTTTTAAAGTGTCATGATAAGAAACTTACAANTGTTTGTACTCAGAATCAGAAAAGACTAATACATTATAGCAAATAATTGAAATGAATGGCTTCTTTCAAAAAGAAATGCTTATAAAACAATATTCTATCTTGATTAACAATATTATCCTTGTAATAATTAAGAATTATGATCTAGAATTCACAAAAACTACTATAATTGAATAAAAAATTAATTTATTTGCAATTAATAATAATAAGATTCAAATAAAAAAATTAAATACAGTCAAACCTCCAAACAATGGCCATTATCTGTTCCCATCAGTGTCATTGTTCAGAAGTTTAACTTTACAGCAGAAACAATACATTTCAACTAAACTGTTACAATTCACCATGGCAGTGTTTTTCAACCTGTGGGTCGCGACCCCCAGAGGGTCGCAAAGCCTTACATGGCAGGTTGCGGGTAAAAGAAAAAGCCAAGTGTTTGCAGGTCCTACACTACAATAAAAAAAAAACTACAGTTTCAGTGAGAAGGCTGTGCCTGTATATTTTACAGTACAATTGGTTTTTCAATTGATATTTAGGTCTCAACAGAAAGAAAATTAAATACGTAGCTTTTAAAATCACTGATATAGTTTTAATATGGCCCTGGGAGGTCGCCAGAATTTTTTTAACTTGTAGAGGGGCCGTGTATTCAAGAAGGTTGAAAAACACTGATCTATATAATAATTTCCCTAATTGTATTAATATTTTAAACTGTTTGCTTTTTTGTATGTTTTTTAATTGGTTGATGATTGATTCTATCAAGTAATTTGTTGATTGTATTAACTTGATTCTTTAGATATCGAAAATTAAATAAAGAACATTATGTTAATTTAAGCGTACAGAAACGTTGCTGTTGTTCCAGAAAAGATCTTATTTTCACTTTACCAAGTGCCTAATAGGTAATTTGCAGATTACATAGATAATCTGCACTTTACCTAGGTAATTTGAGAAATAGAACAATTTTAGCAACTTTAACAGATCACCCTACTTAATCTGCAGATAGCTAGGTAATGTATACATTAACAACTTTCAAGCTTTAGTGGTAACATATATAATCCAAAATTGAAAATGAGTGACTTCTACAATATACAATAGATGTATGATGTAATTTTTCTGGCCAAATTATATATGAACACTAAATTTGATGAATTGGTTTATATAGTTTATAGTTTCCTGAAAGAAACTGTTATATTTTTGGTGTCACCATACCAAATTCAATTTCATTCCCGTGTCAGTGTATTTTTATCTTATTCTAGTGTGTGGGGGGGTTTACGAATAAACATAAGAGCTAAAACAAAACACTGAACAACAAAAAAAAATGTTTTTGAATGTTTCCTTTATTTCATGAGTGAAATCTTACTAATTTTGGGGTGAGAAAATTGAATATGACAAAGAAAAATTTTTATTAGCTCTAGTTTCTGTGGTATACAATAGGTGATTTTAACAGCATAAGAGAAAACGATACATTTTAATTACATATGTTAACAGCATTGAAAGTGCTTTTGAATTTTTTTTAAATTACAGTAACAGTTGTAAATTAATAGAATACCTGGAAGGTGGTTCGATGTGAAGAGAATCATGTGGTGACTTCACGAGATCGTTTTCTTTTGGCTTGCCTCTTGCGAGTTCTGGTGCATCCCTACACACAGACCAGCAGTAATCCGCAAGCATTGCTTCATTCCAGTGGCCCTGATATCTTTGTTCCAATATAGAAATATCCTGGTGGAATCTTTCCCCATGTTCATCACTGACAGCTCCACAACTAGGTGGGAAAAAGTCTAGATGGGAATGGAGAAAATGGATTTTGAGGGACATGTTGCATCTGAGTTGCTATTTTTCCAGAAGTATTATCACCAACTGAGTGTAGTTATCGTCTCTTTTGTTGCCTAAGAATCCACGAATAACTCCCTTTAAGGCTTCCCAAGCTTCCTTTTCTTTTCCCTCCAAAACTTGGTCAAATACGGGATCCTTTACAAGTTTTTGAATTTGTGGCCCAACAAAAATAACTTCCTTAACCTTTGCATCACTCAATCTGGGAATTTTGTCTCTTAAGTACTTAAATGCTTGTCCTTTCTGGTTCATACCTTTGACAAGTTTTCATTAAACCCAGCTCGATATGAAGGAGGGAAAGAACATCTTTTGGGTCCACAAGAGGCTTGGCAATGATATTTTTCTCGGTAGAGTCAAGATTTCTTGCAGGCCAGTCCACTCGAACGTAATGTGATTTCCTATCCCTACTGTCCCACATACATAAAAAGCAACAGTATTTAGTGTACCCCAGTTGCATTCCTAAGAGTACAGCAATGACTTTTAGATCGCCACATATTTTCCACTTGTACTCAGCATAATTGAGTCAAGGAGGGCTGTCATGTTTGCATAAATATATATTCTATAATAGAGTGTAGTTTTATTATATGCTGATCTGAGGAGTTTTACAGGAAAAATGCCAACGAAAATTTTAAATAATTGAAGATGCATATTTTGTAATGAAATATTTTTTTACAAATTTTACTATAAACCTTTCTCATATATTTTGTATTATTTAGATTACGTCAATCATTTTAAATAATAATTTAAAATGAATAACAGTTTTAAATCTTTTGTGGAGCATATTTTAGCTCTTGCGGATCACTGGTTGGGAACCGCTGCTCCAAAGCAAGAGCTAATCAGTCATTATAGTGATTTTTGAATTCAGCAGATGAAAATACATAAGAATATGCTAATTTTGAGCCNATATTAAATTGAATTAATATACAGTAGAGCATCGATAATCCAACTCAATTGGAAACTCTGGTTGGTCAGATAACTGAAAAAATCGGATAACTGAAAATAATGAAAAAAATACATTATTAGTAGAGTATATTAGGATATCCCATGTAATTAGTATATTGCTATTAACCAATTTCGTGTTGAATTTTCTTCGATGTTTAGCCTAACAAATTTTTTTAAAATAATAATCATTGCTATTGTATCGTTAAAAATTATTTTTAAATTATTTTATTGCTCACAAGACAAACAACCACTCATAATTAGAAAATTAAGTCTCATTTAAATACTGGCCTCCCTTCAATGGTCGAGCCGATGTTGCCAGCTAAAACACGCAAAAATTTAACATAAATAATATTAAAACTTAAGCCAAGACATAGCCAAATATTGTAATGCCACATCACTAGCGGACATTTGAAATTTGCTGACTAGAATGGTCAGTTAACCAATGTGACAGTTAATCGGGTGTCGGATAATCAATGCTCTACTGTATATCTCTTACGAATTAAGGCTTAAAAAATGCTTGTACAAAACAGGGACAAAAAAATTATTAATTGGGCCTAACCTCTCTTATCCACTAATGACCAGCTGGTCATTAGTGGATAGAGAGGTTAGGCCCAATTAATAATTTTATCAAACAATTCACTGAAAAAAGTATCTTGGTTAACAAATTATTTAGTTTATTTTTTAATAATCTAAATTTATGAAAATAAAAAATATATTTATCCCCACATTCTATCATACTTGGGCCTGCCTCAAATAGCACATGAAAATATTAGACACAGGACTGCATTCTGTTCTACTAATTGCCACTAGTTGGTGCAGTGGTGAAATGTGTGTGTTTACAGAGCATTGGGCCAGCTCTGTCCAGGGCCCTTAGTCTAGAGTTTTTTGTGTTACTACTCCCAACGTGTTGAACATGTCACATGGTACCATCTCACACTCTGACATAAAATCGGTAGTATCGAGTTATAACTCATGTGCTTTCCCATCTCACCAAGTGAGTTGCTACTCGCGTTGAGTTGAGCATGTAGCGATCTCACATGATCGCTACACGAAAGTGAAAATGGTTGGCAGATATGCTGTTCTGATCGCAATTGAAGCGTTAGAAGGATCCGAAAGAGTTGTTTAATCCTGTTGCAAAAGAAGTACTACAATCTCAAAATCTTTCAGGCTACAGGTGAAAAAACAGATAACATCTGTCGTCTCTTAAATGCATTAAAGATGATTCCACCAACAGCAATGAATTTTTCGACCACGAGTAGATGCCATTTCTTTTCATATCAAGTCAACACTAATAAAAAAATTTTAATTCATAATTAATAAAATTATACATCAATTTTTTCCAAAAATAAAAAGAAGTATCTAAGTCATCGAAAAAGAGAATTAAAACAATAGTAAATTATATGTATAAATTATTAAGATTGTTTATTAATCAGAAATGTTAAGTTCTGATTAAAAAATAATCTTAATAAACAAAACAATTTAAGAAATAGATCAAGGAAGAAAACTATATGAAAAAAGGATTAAATTAAAATACTTTTTCCATTATGCAACAGATTTTTTAGCTCCAATACTCAATTAATTTTTCAAGTAATTTTCTACACAAATCGAATTGTCTTCTTGTAAATTCATTGTCGAATTTTCCACTGTTCATTTTCTTATTATTTTCTATATATCTCTTTTTGTTCTTCGCTTCTTTTTTTAAAATGTTTTATTTTAAAAAAAGAAGTGAATTCTTTTTTTCTGTTTCTGCATATTATATTGCTATAAAACAAAGCTTTTAACTATAACACGTGTAAACTAATTTATGTTGATTTGTTTACAACTTGTTACAGTAAAGTTAATTGGTCGAATCATTATAGTCGCAAACTCAGAGGCATTGTAAATAATCCCATCATGTTTATCAACACATGTAAACGAGTGAATATGACCTACTTCTGCTCGCCTTTCAAGTTCGCTCAATGGGTCTAACTCGAGACTACCGATTATGTGAGTCATAGTAACATGAGTGAGTTCAATGACGTCAATTCGAGTACAACACAAAAAACTCTAGACTAAAGGCCCAGTCCTGTTCCAAGAGTACTCTTAACCATTTACTGTGTTTATAGTGTGCATGTCACTATATCTAACAATCTTTTTCAGTTTATACTTTTTACTGATTCAGCAATTCAATTCATAATTAGATTGTGATCTACAGTTAATAATAAATGAAATTCAATAACAAATTTTATAGCAGATTCAAAAAAATTTATATAAAATATAATTTAAAATATTACATAAATTATACCTAGAAAACTTTTTCTTTGAGGCTGATGATTACAGATTTTTCTCTTATATTAAATATTTCTTAAAATCTAACCTTTAATGAACTTTGTTTAAGAGCCTAATTAATATTCATTACCATATTTTCTTTTTACCTGTAGCAATGACTGAGTGCAGGGTGCATGTAAATTCAGCTTTGTGCTCTCATTTTGAGCAAAATGATGTTTCCAGGTATACACTGAGATATCTATTACAGTTTAGAACACAGCTCAAATGGAATATTGCTTACTAAAAATATTTTGTCCAAATTGCAAATAATTCTGCTTTCTTACTGTTTACAAGTACACATAAGATATACATTAGGGTTTCTCAAACGAGATCATGGGATCCCGGTTGTTTTTTTTAACCTGGGCAATATCCCAGGAAATCCTGCAAATTTCTTAAAAATTTACTTTTTTTTATTTTGTGTTAAAGTTGAGGAAATTTTGCAAATAGAAAGTATAATTAATAGTGATGTAACAAATATTCGGTTACTATTTGGTTTTCGGCCTATTTTTCACTATTCGGCCGAATACCGAATACCTAAAAGCAGGAGTAATAAATAACAGAAACACAGTAAATTAATCATTTTGTTATTTAGATTTAATGTTATCGAGTTAGTGTTGTTTGTTTATATTTATTTATAACTTGTAACATGCACAAAATAAAAAAGAAAATAATATTAGTCACATGTATTCNTTAACCAGGACGTTTGTTAACCGGGGTTCCACTGTATAGCACAAACACTCGGAAAAGCGATGCTTAACTCGCGCATGCCTAACACCAACTAAAATTTGACACAAAATACCGTTACGTTCGTTATCCAAGACAAAATTTTTGCAAAATAAAAGTTCGTTAACCGATTTGGTCGTTAACCAGGACGTTCGTTAACCGGGGTTCCACTGTAGTTTGTTTTATATGGCTGTTGAAAGTAAGCATTTTCTGTGTTTTTGACAAAATGAATAAACTTGAATACCATTCCGTCATAAAATTCTTCATTTTAAATGGTTTATCGCCAACAGAAATTCATCCAAAGTTGGTAAAAGTGTATAAGAGTCTGCACCTTCGTTATCAACAATAAAAAAATGGGCAGCTGAGTTTAAATGTGATTGTACATTGATTGAAGATATCCACGTGAAGGATGGCCAAAAACTGCAACTACCAAAGAAAATATCGAGAAGATACACAATATCATTCTACATGATCAACGATTAAAAGTGTATAAGATAGTTAAGGCTGTAGGCATCTCAGAAGAAAGAGTACAGCACATTTTACACAAAGGACTCAGTATGAGAAAGCTTTGTGCAAGATGAGAGCTGCATTTGTTAAATGCTGATCACAAACGAGGAATTGACTTTCTCAGCAAATTTGCACCATTTTAAGAAGAATCTAACCAATTTTCTGCACAGATTTGTTACAATGGATGTAACATGAGTTCACTACTTTACCCGAGTCAAAACAACAGTCCAAGCAGTGGGTAGAAGCTGGTGGCTCTGCACTGAAGAAAGCAAAGACAATTGCATCAGCTGAAAAGGTTATGGCTAGTGTTTTTTGGGATTCCAAATGGATTCTTTTAATTGACTACCTGTCAAAGGGTCAAACAATTAATGGGAAATACTATGCACTGTTGACAGTCCCAATATGTATAGCCCAGGGGAGAGTGGGAGAGAAGGAAAAGGAATCACATGAGGACTGGCTGGGAACCGAATATTAGAGATAACAATCACAAATACAAGACTGACACAGCAGTCCAAATATTACATAGAAGATACAATAATAAAAGTACATAGCACAATTAAACAAAAACAAAAAAAAAACACTTTAGGGTGGGTTGAACATATATGCACCCTTTACAATTAGCCAAAATAAAATTGTACAGAATAAAAAGTAGATCCCAACATTAGCTTGCAGATGTTAGTAACAAAAACTAAGGCCGCTTGAAGTCCTGAGCAAAGAACCGTGGCACTAAGATAGAAACCATGGGATGGGGAGGTTACCCTCCACACACCACCAGTTAGCTGAGCACCTTAATTTGGTGAATAAAGTCTTTAAATTTTGAGAAAATGTCTTTGTTGCTGAGTAGAAGACTTGCCGGACATGGCCACACTTCGTTCTCCTGCATCACTGCTTGTATCAGTTGTCTTCGTTTGTTCTCATACAGAGGGCAGCAGAACAGCATGTGATTGCTGTCGTCCCACTCATTAAGTGAGCAATGGCATTGCACATTCCCTTTGCCGAGGAAATGGGCCAGATAATGTTTAAAGTTTCTGTGGCCCGTCATGATTTGCATGAGTTCATAGGAGGAGGTGAAGTAGGAAAACTTCGCTCTATTTGCCAGCAAGGGAAGGAAGCAGTAGGTTGTCCTCCCAGTGCTACTGCTGTCCCAGTTACTCTTCAACCGTTGGTGAATATAGTTGAGCAGCTGGTTCGCCATCCAACTGAAAGACACTTTTGAGCATGCGCTGGTGTCGAGGTTACTTGTAGCCTTTTTGGCAAGGAAGTCTGTACGGTTGTTTCCCGTGTTGCCTGAGTGCCCTTTAGTCCAGGCAAGGGTGATAACTGTAGATCCATTGAGGTGGTTGAGGGTGTTGATAGTATCCCTTATAATGGGGAGGTTGACATTAAGATTTTGTATCTAGTGCAGGGCTACCTTGCTATCAGTGAAAATATACTGCCTTGTTCTTAAAGATTGTAGGTTCCTTCTTAATGTAATGCAGGGCCCTTAAAATAGCCAAGGACTCCACCTAGTTAATAGTGCAATGATCGTCCATTTTGAAGTAATGCTGGGGAAGGATTTCTTCTGCCCTTCCATACACTACAAATGAGTCCCCAGTCCGGGGACCCATTGGTGTAGATATGGAACCCAGAATGGGGTGGAGTAGTACCATTCATCAAGATTTTGCAGCTGGAACCCAACGCCGGGTGAATCGGGCTGCTGCTATCAACTTTGTCTATCTATCCCTTTCTCAAGGAGGTATTTGGCCAGATTACCATGGCATCCCCATCCACCAGATGATTAATATTGGTATGAAATTGATCAATGGTGATATCGTTATAAAGGAAGCGCTTCATGTTATGCCTTGAGTATTTTTCCTGGATATAAAGGTCAATGGTGAGTAGGTTTGAGATGGCAAGAAGACCGTCTGTTGGGGCCGGTTTGTACGCCCTGGTAATGTACAAAGCAGAGAGCAATTGCAAAGAGAGGAGCTTCCTCCGGGTATGAACCCTGTTCATGCAGTGCCCCAGACTTCCGCAGGTGGCTATCTTCTGTGTGACGGCGATATACGTTGTTTTCCTTGATTTGTAGTTAAGCCCCCATTTGTTCCTGCAGATGGTAGACAGGGTGCTGCTGGTGACTGCTGTGGCTTTTCTGTAAATATAATAGATATGCCCATTCCACAGTAACTTATGATCTATGATAAGCCCCAGGTATTTAATTAATTAATTAAGTGACAAGGTGTTCCTGATCCAATGCCCATTGATCCAGATCGAGGGGCCTTTGCTGAGGGGGTTCGCCTTGGGGAAGACCATACTTTGACATTTACTGTAGTTTATGTGTATGTTTACTTGCTCACTCCACTGATAAACTTTAGATAAAATTTAGTTCATGTTGTCCTGGAGCTTTCCTTGATTCAGGTGCAACATGACAATAAGTATATCATCGGCATATCCTTGGATCATTGTGTTGTTTGGTGACCCCTCTTGCAACTGTAGAAGGCTGTTGTAAAGAGTGTTCCACAGAAGGGGCCCTGACTTGGAGCCCTGTGGATACTGTTGATAGACCTACCATAGATTAGAGTGCTGTTGCTGTAGATGGCTGCTCTCTGGTCCTCCAGATAGCTGCGGAGGATCCTGTATAGGTTGCCTGGGCAGTTGGAGTTGCTAAGCTGGTACAGTACCTCTGGCCACCAGGCATGTTCGAAGGCATCCTTAAAATCTATAGCCACTAAGAGAGTGTGATTCTCATTTTTCTTCACAACCTTGATGTAG